CCGGGCCCGTCGGGCCTCCGCTGGCGGGCCTCCCCCCGCGGTCAGCCTGGCGTGGGGATGCGTGTGCACGCGCTTCCCACGCCCAGGCCTCCCGTGACGTCCCGGCTTCCTCCGCCGGCCTTGCGTCACCGCGGGAGGATGTTGCTCGGCTTCGGGAGCGGGGCCGATAACCCAGCCGGGGCGCGTCGGGCGGCGAGAGCAACCTCTGCCTCGCCCCTCTTCGTCCTCGTCCCGGGGATGCCCGCCCGGCTCCGCATCCGCGCCCTGAGCCGCGTCCGCCGGGGCACGGGGAAGCGGAGCCCGGGCGCCGGGCGTGCTGCCGGGGGCTGCCTCGAAGCCGGGCTCCCCTCTGCCCTGCGGCGCTGCTCGGGCTGGCCGAGGGCACGGCGTCGCATCCGCCACCTTGCTGGCCTCGGGGGCTGCAGCGCGAAGGCAAAAGGGACCGGATGGTCAGTTTTCTGTTTGGTTGTTGGGTTTTCTTTTTTAAAACATCCTTCCCTTCTACAGGAGGGTTTTAGGAGGGTTGGTACGGAGACCTCGGGTTCCCAAAACCCCCGTGCCCCGCAGGGAGCGCTTGCCTGGAGCTGGAAGAGTCCATCCTGCAGCCCGCGCTGGCGCTCGGGAAATGCAGCACTCCCAGGCTTTCTCCTCCACCACACCTCCCTCTTATCAGCGCCGCTCCTGGGAGCGGTACTGCTGTCTCCAGGGTAATAAAATCTCAAGGAGTGGGGGATGTTCGTGCCCTGTGTCCCCGCAGGTGCCTGTGATTTGTGTTTCCCCTGCGTCACGAAGGGGGCAAAGCTTCCAGCAAAAATGGGGTTTTAGAAGCCCCTGCTCTGGCAGGGAGGCTCGGTTTGCAGTGAGAGCTGTGGCTGGGCTCCCCCAGCCGGCATCCCAGGAGAGAGATCCGAGATGTTTGGTTTGTGCGGGAATATTGGATGGAGAAGATGAAGGGATATTTGCAATAACGGCTCCAGGTTTGGATCATCAGACTGGGGTGGGGGA